AGCAACATACGGATAGTTGTCTCACAGACTAGAGTTCTCGCACCGAAACGACGGATGTTCAGCAACCCATCATCAATACGGTGTTCCACACGAACACCGTAAGCACAAGCGGCATCAAAAGCACAAGACAACATTGCATGAAGATATATATTAAACAGGGCAGGAGCCAAGACACAGCCTTGCTTCACACCAGAGACAACTGCAAAGTCATCCGAGGTTTCTCCACTCAGCTGCACCCTCGCTCGCATACCACTGTGCAGACATTCAACTAAACTTACAAACTTACGCGGGCAACCAAACTTACCCAACACCAACCACAATGCCTCGCGATTCACCGTATCAAATGCCTTGGTGAAATCAACAAAAAGCGAGTACAATGGCTGGTGTCGTTCTCTGCACTTCTCTTGCAACTGACGAGCCGCAAACACCATATCTATAGTGCTGCGACCCGAACGGAATCCACACTGCTCCTCCGCCACGTTAGGTTCCACAACCTGACTGACGAGGCGGTTGAGCAGGATTCGGGCAATCACCTTGCCCACACAACTCAGCAAGTTGATGCCACGATAATCCGTGCAACATTGCTTGCTACCTTTGCCCTTGTACAGTGGTAGCACAAGGGCATCCTTCAGATCAGGAGGCACCTCCTCCTCAATCCATACACGTTGCACCAAGTGGTGCAGCGCAGTCAACAACGCGGGTCCGCCGTGTTTCAACACTTCAGGCGGGATCCCGTCGGCTCCGGCACACTTGCCGTTTCGCAGCTGAGCAAATGCTCTCTGCGTCTCATCCAATGTCGGCGTATCCGCCAGATTCGCCATCACATCGTGCTAGCTTGAGGCCGTTCAATGTAGGCCAGTCGATCTCTGAACGGTTGTGCAAGAGACAGTCAAAGTGTTTCCGCCAGATCTGAATTATGTCTGCAGTCTGTGTGCAGGTAGCGCCTGAACTACCATCGATCAGTGTCCTCAGCGGCTCCAATCTCGGTCCATACACCGCCTTCAAGGAGTCGAAGAATTCCTTGTGTTGGCGGCGTTTGGCGTAGCATTACATCTGCTTCACCTTCTCCGTCCACCATGCATTTTTAATGCGACGGAGCTCTCTGGTCAGTCGCCGTCGAAGTTTGCGAAACTGACTCTTCTTCCTCAAGTCACTGGGATCTGCAACATGTGCAGTAAATGCTGCATTCTTCTCTGACACAAATGCGCCGATCGCCGCATTGTTCTCATCAAACCAATCAGGCTGCTTGCAGTTTGTGCGCCCGATGGTCTCCTCGGCAGCAGCTGTCACCTGGTCGCGAATGTGGTGCTACAGGTCGCCCACTGTGGCTATGCAGTCCACATCACACAGGCGTGCAGCCATCGCCTTCTCCAGCGCAGTACGTTTCGTTACAGTACCGAGGGAGAGAATGTTAAATTTACGCCGATTCACGGCGGGAGTACAATACATTGATTTACGAAAATATATGTACAGTTTGGTCCGAACCAATTTGTGATCAGTGCCACACTCAGCTCCATGCAGTACACGTGTCATGCGCACTTCACGCATATCACGCTGACGTACGATGACATAGTCGAGCAGGTGAGCGTGACCACTCCGTGGGTGCGTCCAAGTTGCTATATCACTCGCACTCAGTGCAAACCGAGTGTTCGTGATCGTCAGGCCGTGAGTGGCACACAGTGAGAGCAGCCTGTCACCGTTCGCATTCGCTGAACCAATGCCATGCGCACCGATAACATCTGTCCACACCGATGCATCACGCCCAACGCGCGCGTTGAAATCACCCAGCAGAAATAGTCGGTCGCTCCTCGGCACAGACCGTATCACGGATTATAGCTGAGTTTAGAATTGATCGCGCGTGTCATCAGGATAACACATGGTCGGACCGTACGTGCATATAAAAGTGGCAATCTTACCTCTTCCGAGTCGTAGGCGAACGGTCATCAGTCGCGCACTGATGCCCGTTGGTTCACCCACCAGCTGGCCATGGAGGCGATCGGTTATTGCAAATCCGACCCCATGTTCACGTGGAGCTGAAGCGGCGTTTCTCACCCAGTAGAATATGTAGCCAGCACCTGTTTCATGCAACTTACCTTGCTCAGCGAGCCGAGTTTCACTGAGCGCCGCAATATCGATGTTGTAGCGCGCCAGCTCCATCGCGACCAGTGCAGTGCGTCGCTCCGGGCGCTCGCTGGAGTTCCGGTCCAGTAGTGTGCGCACGTTCCAGCACCCGATGCTGAGTGCTTTGCGCGCAGGCATACGATTGCATTGGTGGGAAATCGCACGCGAGGTGGTCGTTGTGCTTCGGAGGTCTGTGCTTTTGCTTTAATGTTCTGCCTAGAATTCCCCTCAGGCAAGCTGATCTTCTGAAACCCTGGTGTTCAGCTTCTCCTCACTTTCTTTACTTTTCATTTCACAAGATGTCCGCTTCCTTGGCACATACAGTAATTACACACTACCACTGCTGCTTCATTTTAAGTGTCGCTAATGTTGTTAATCATTTTACGTCCACAGTGGAGCAGCTTTGCCATTACTTTTACGCTGGATTTATGTATGTTCTATGTCTTTTCTAAATCACTGTACTCATCAGTACACTTTGTTCGAATCCACGTAGGGGTGGGCGTCCTCGCGTTATACTCAGCCCGCGCGCGACTGGTGGTGGTCGCGCGACAGCGAAGCGCTGTTACGGCGTACAGCTGACACATTATTTATTTTTTTCAGTACACGTTATCTAAAGGTAAGAAACCAGCTATTGTGCCGTAATACAAAAGGTTAACGTTTATGAAACATGTGGAATATGAAACATTGCGGAACACAAAATAGAAACCAAAAACGTAAAATACTGCTTAGCATCATATGCATCAAGTATGAGATCGTAGTTAGAGGCAAAGGCTAAACGAGAGCGGAACAAGGAAACAATACCTACGCCATTGTGGTCTGCTCCCCGCCATATCGGTTAATGTATCTATTCAAACGTGTTCATCGTCTTTCGGACCCCAGCCAGGCAGTCGGGAAACACTCGAAGTGAGGGATTTCATTCCACTTGATCAAGTCATCACTTGGCCTCCCCTCCTTTTCTTCCATCCACACCTCAGTGGCGCAAACAACGCACGATGCAAGAGTCGATGTGCTGGCATGCACAGCACGTGACCCAGCCGTCGGAGCCTGATGCATGATATAACGGTACCGGGCGGTTCGCTCTCCTTTTCTTCACCAATTACATGATGCTGAACATGTTCTTCGGCCACGCGGTGCTCCCACCAAACGTGAGCTAAACTGCGACGACAGCGATGACAGGACGTAACAAGCCTCTTCATGTCTATTGATCTAATGGACTAAGTTTCGCAACCGTACAGGGTGGTTGTATGTACGACTGCGTTGTAAACTCTGCCTTTCAGGGCGAGAATGATGTCACGCCGGTCCCACATGTGGCGGAGATTTTCAAAGGCGTCTCAAGCTTTTGCTATACGGTTCGTGACCTCATCATGGCGGGCCGGTGGCCGGAAGTTCAACGCGTCTACCTTGCAACCGGGATATCCCTGTGGCGGAGCTGTACGCTCTCAGGCGCGTCCCTAGGTTGTGAATTGGGCAATGCCTTCCTTGTGGAGGTATCTGCGAATAAACCTCGTTTGCTGGCTTGCCGAACAGCCTCCTCGTGGTGCCAGTTAGGTGGTTCGGGATTTTCCCGTTCCAGCAAATGGTTCGACGGCAGTGTTCCAGGACGTGGTGGGTTTTCGCCTGGCAAGCGTTCTCCCAATAAAGAGCCACATATGTCCGTTTAACAACACTATGACGAGGCGGACGTGACTCGCCACTAAATAAAGTCACTGCCCCTTGCTTCGTCCTGGCAAAGCATTGTATTCCAGAAACTTTGTACTGTAATTCTGGGGAGCATTAGGCCCCTGTTTGACAACGGAACAAACGAATGACCTATGAACTGAGCAATCAGTCACCGGCTCCTAATGGGCGCAATTCCCTGAACTCGGTCCGCTGCCTTGCGGGCAGACTATTCAGCCAAAGGCTCGGGGTGGTGTCCCCTAAGTCAACACCCTACTTCGGCTTGGGTAACCGGATAGTATCTCGCCCTCTGACGAAACCATGGACTTTGATGTGTTTTCTTTTACAATTTCTGTACCTTCTTTTGTGTTCCATGGTTTCTGATGGCTCTATGTCTATTCATAGACTGTTGCAAACATATATGTACAAGCGAGATGAATAAGCAGTCGCGGACAATCAGCGACAGCGTCTCAGAGCCTGGGGAGTTCCGGGCTGGTCACCGGATTCTTCATCAGATGCCACATGAGCTCGTACTGTGCTGTGTCAAAGCCAAAGTGACCGGCTATAGGGTCACTGACTATTCACTTCTGCTCACAGAAATGAGTAACTAACGGAGGGCTAATGAACAACCTTACTGGCCACCGGCTTTTCTGTGGACTGTTTCCGAATACGATGAAGGCGAATGAGCCACCCAGCTGTCAACGGTCTTCGTGAATCGTCCCGCTGTCTTGCGACTCAGGTTTTTAGGACCAAAGGCTCAGGGTGGGGTCCCTTAAGTCAACCCTTTTCCTTGGCCTGAGCAGCCTATAAAACCTCTGCTCACGCAACACACGAACCATCTAAACCTTTCAAACACCCGCTGACCGCCAGTTTTCCTTTCTTGTTGTGTTGACTATGTGTTGTGGCACTGCCAATTGTATATTGGTCAAGTGTTTACTGATAATCATAACCCAGCTATCATCGTTTCGAGCGTGCGTAGGGTATCGGGCGACCATCACAGTATTCTTAGCCCACTTGCGACTGGTGATGATTGCATAGCAATGAAGCCTCGGTGCGGCTCACTGCTGGTTTCTTCGTGTCCTCTTTTTATATTCCGCAGATGCTAATATCGCTGCCTTGATACTTTTCTAGATCCCTGTTCCTTTATTATTGTCTCTTATGTTGTCTGTTATGTTCACTTTTCGTCACATTTGAATATCTGATCATTTTTATTGATTTCAGTGCACAGCACCAATGCATCACGACAGTCTGCGTGTTCCGAAACTTTTAAAGTAAGCATTCTTTTTTATTTCTCTTTTCACTAGAGAATCCTCATTCGAGAGTGTGAAAAAGACCATCGAGTGTCTTAAGAGGTTGATTGAAGTAGAACCATGGACCGATCTGGAGTACAGCTTCCGTTGATCACAAACCTTTTTCTTTAGAGAACTGATAGCTTTGATTCATCAACGGTCAAAGATCTACGCAGCATCTGCTGCAGAAGCTACCCCGGTCATTCATGTTTGTTTGCGGATAATCAAAATTGCACGAGAAGAGGCTTTAAAGTGAGGTTTCCGTCCACACATTCAACTGTCGATCTCAGAGAACTCCTTGGAGAAAACGCGGAGTTTGAAGAGAATTCCACGGTTGGTCTATGTCTTGTTTGTCATATCATGCTTTCTTCAGAATCGTTTGTTTGCCTCAGGAGATGTGAAGTATGAGAAGGTGAAGAAATCTGCCTTGATCGATGGCATACTTAGTTCCATCGAGGAGTTTTCGCTGGACATGGTGTCTTGCTCAGAGAACGTATCTGATCTGTCACTAGACTTTATTCATTCAGACGAACTTATACTCACTACAGGATTTTCTCGAGCTGCTTACCACTTTCTTCGAGTAACGCGTTTCTTGGTATGCTTCAACAGTCTCCTTTTAGCGCGCGGCTGAAAAGAAACGAGTTTTCAAGGTTGTCGTATGTGAAACGTATCCAGATAAATTAGGTCACAAGTGTGCTGATCTTTTGTCTAACGCTGGTATCAGCGTTATTCTTGTACCGGATAGTCACGTGTTTGCTCTGATGTCACGCGTCGACAAGGTATGCAACAATGTGTCCTCACTACTTTTCCTGTTCTATAGGTTATTATCGGCTGTCGAGCCGTATTCCCCAATGGCACCATCAAAACGACCGTTGGAACCCACAGTATTCTTCTCGCCGCAAGGCATTTCTCCATTCCGGTTAGCTCACTTCCTCCTGCAGCACATACTTCTATTGCTGATACGCTGTGCACTTTTTCTCGCCACTAGCTAATGTCCCTCTGGTAAACTTATCATTACGTAATTTCCCAAAGTCATCACACGTGGTGACATTTTGTTATCTCTATTTAGGCCCTATTTTTTCCATCGTTTCATCCGTCTTGTCTCCGATTGTTATTTACATTTTACCAATGTTTAGCCGATGATCCGCCTCTACTGAATAGTCTATCATTTACTACCGGCATGTGTTTCAATCAAGGTGATACGTCTTCACTGATACTTTATCGATATCTTGATACTATATGCTCAAGGCTCATGTAAGTTTTGACAATTATTCCAAGGGGATAGTATTTGAGCAGCCCTGAGTTAACTGACTGAAGCATTCACCAGGGGTTCTGTGCAAGTCTCAGGCCGACCATGTGCGTTTGGAAAACGAACCTAATAGTTTATTCCACGTTCCTGTCCCTCCTACAAACTTCTATTTGCTTTAACCGCTGGCAGTTTGAAAAGCCTACTTAGACACTCTTGCTTTGACTTGCGTCAGCTCAGTCGCCTCTCCCTCTGCCCTTTATCGCCTCCAAAGTACTTGCCGCTGTCGTTCATCATAGACTGACTGGCGACCGAGAATACCAGATTTCTGAAGAACATGCCGGGTTTCGTCGAAATCGAGGTTACATCGATCACATCTTTATTTTGGGCTAGTTACTGAAACACCGCCACAACTATCGGTTATCCACTGCTATCCCTTCCCTTGAAATTAAATGTGCCTTCGATTCCTTGGATTGATGTGCCCTTTGGGACCTTTTACTTGAGAAAGGTGTGCCCAAGAAATACGCAATCATCATCAAAACGCTTTACGTGCGTACTTCGGGCAGAGTGAGGGCTTGTGGCAAACTTTCGTTGCCATGCAATATCTCCAGTGGTGTGAGCGCGATGTCCGCTGTCACTCTTCCTTCTTTAATTTCGCCATCGACGAAACCATGGAAACTGCGTTCACTGGGCACGACCTACCATGCGATCGACTTTATGACTTGGAGTACGCCGACGACATTGCCCTAATCTGTCACCTTTCCTTCTAACAACTTGATAATGCTCTGGCCGTCGCAGAGGATAATAAACGGCCCCCTATTTGATGCATCGAGCAGGGTGGATAGGGGTTTAAATGCGACTGCTCATGCCTTCCCGCCTTCGTATCCCCGCTCCAACTTCTTTTTTAACCCCCTGTTTACAATCCTCAAATTCTTGGCACTCCCCCACCTTGCTTAAATAATCACTTGTCTTTTATTTTCAACTTACAATCGCAGGGCGCCGCACCACTGCACTCGGCAAGTCCATGTTCAACCAAGCGGACAACGTCAGTTCATCCGTTTCCATTTTGAGTCTTCGATGCTCGCTAAGACTGGCATGCCACAACGTGCGCACTTTGCTACAGAGTGGCCGACAGGCAGCACTTGACCGAACACTTGAGACCCACTGAATCGATCTTTGCTGTTTATCGGAAACCGGCGTGCAAGATGCGAGCTCCGTGCTTACTCCGCGATCCGCCACATGTGACACAGGCGGCACATTCCTACTGCGCCTGTCTGGAGATGACGCAGCTTCAAACGCTGGTCAAGCTGGCGTCGGCATCGCTTTGAGTCCTCGGGATGAAGCTGCCCTGATCGACAGGATCCCTGTCAACAGCCGGATGTGTACCGTTAGTCTAGGTGGCTTGTTCCAGGCTTCGAAGTCGCGATGGGACAAATGGTGCCTGTTTGTCATTGCGGCTTACGCTCCCACAAGCTGCAGCCCTGATTCTGTGAAAGATGATTTCTATCAGCAACTTAACGATCTTCTTCGTTACAGAAGAAGCACTGTGGTGCTGGCTGGTGATCTAAACGCCAAAATCGGAAAATTGTCCTCTGATGTGCTTAATCTGGGCGGCCAACATGGTGTAGGCTCCCGTAATGAGAACGGTGAGCGGCTGCTACACCTGTGTGAAGACGCTCGTCTCTTTCTCGCCAGCACTAACTTTCGACACAACACCCGCAGCAGCCATGGACGCAAATTGATTACATCGCGATTAGTTACCACTAGAGAGACTGTCCAAAACTGTGGCTCGATTTGGAGCACGAGCGTGGACTCCGATCACGCTCTTACGTGTGCCAACCTGTGGGTGTTTTTCGGCGGACGACCATGTCACTGTGAACGCATTGACACCAGTCAACTGGAGAAGCTAGATGTTCCGTTTGCATATCAAACTACGTTGGCATCTGGGCTGAGTAAGCGTCCACTGAACACCGGCGAAGATCACTGGTCGTATATTCGTCAAACGTTACTACCAGCAGGCATGTCTTTATGTGGCAAACCAAACTACCAACCTAGACATTGGGTCTCTACAAAGTCTCTGGAACCTATGGCTACGCGCCGACATATTCCGGCTGGAAGCGAATACAATGAGACTCGCAAAAATCTCAGGGCGAAACTGTGTGCTAGCCTGAAGAGACTGCGATGCCTGGTGGTCTCATCATGCATCGGAAATGGAAACAGCTGCTGCCGTTGGTAATCATCGTAAGTTATTCCGTCTGATACGGGAACTAGGCAGCATGAGACCTGGTGTTAGCGAGACCATACGCGACGAGAGTGGACAGCCGATCCACAGCTTGTCAAAACGCTTGGAGCGTCGGGCCGAACACTTTGCAAGGCAGTTGAACCAATCTGAGTTATCGCTTTCTCTTACGGGCATTGAGTGCCTTTCTCCATGGGCCATCTCCTTAGATCTGCACTCACGCGCAGAAGTCGGACGTGAGATCAGACTGTTGAAACTACATAAGACCGCGAGGGCAGATAGAATTCCCCCAGCTCTCTTCAAATTCAGGGGAACTACTCTTGTGGATTATTTACTCGAATCGCTAATGGAAATTTGGGAGCAGAAAACTGTCCCGACAGACTAGAGCCGCTCCGTCATAGTCCCAAATTTCAAGGAATGCTCCCGTTCACAATTCGACAACCATAGAGGAATCAGTCTGATCTCAATTGCCTCTAAGTTGCTTGCCTCTGTCGTTCTCCAGACACTGACTGGCGCTCATGACGGTCAGATCCGCGAAGAACAACAAGCCGGGTTTTGTCGAGGTCGGGGCTGCGTCAACCACATCTTCACTACGCGGCAATTGTTGGAGCACCGCCATGTCTATTGGCGATCCACCGTAGTCGTGTTTCTCGACATCAAAGGTGCCTTTGATTCGGTGGATCGATATGCCCTTTGGGACTGTCTGCTGAGGAAATGTGTGCCCGATAAATACGTAAGCATTATCAAAGCATAATACGTGCATAGTTTGGGCGGGAGGGTTTATGGCAAACTGTCGCCTCCCTTCAGTATCACCAGTGGTGTGAGACAAGGTTGTCCGCTATCACCCTTCCTCTTTAACTTCGCTATCGATGAAGTCATGGAAGTAGCGTTCGCTAGACACCACCTACAAGATGTGGAGATGCCTCTTGGTGAGCGACTTTTTGACTTGGAGTATGCGGACCACATTCCCTTCATATGTTACAGCGCCCAGGCGTGCCAGACTGTACTGAAGCGATTAGCACTAGCTGTGAATTGTGTTGGGCTATGTCTTGCTGCATCGAAATGCAAAATATTTCTTTAAGATTGGAAGGGACCCGCCGCTGCGCTGACCCTTGCTGGTGATCATCATCATCAACAGCAGTACATCAGTCATTTGAACTGATGCTTCGCTGCCATACAACCATGAGGACCCATGAAATATAGAATACGAAAAAGGAGAGAAGAGTGACTTACCTGAAAACCTTAATGCCCTAAGCAACCATTCATGGTCAAGGCGCCTACACCTTGTGTAGACAACATGCCGTCACAAACAGCTGGCTATCGTGCCCAGATAAGGCGGCATCGGCGAGACAGCTTCCTTGCGGCTTTCACTCCCACGCGTCATAATCAGCCATTACCCCACAGATAACTCAGCACCAAACACACTTTAAACAGGCAGTCCAATTAGGAGGAGGCAGAAGACGCGCCACTGGTGTCTACTGCGAGCCATGTCTATAGCTAAGCACAAGGTGAGTCACGTTGACTCCAGCCCGGAAGGCGAGACGGACCCGCGGCACCAAGTTTGGTAGTCAGCGACTACATTTCCCGCTGCCAAGTCAACTTCTGTCCATCTCGAGCCTTGCGTCACCCTACACCTGGTAGACTAAACAAGGCCATTCTGGGTAAGCGGTGATCAGGCATACGTAGCACGTGCCCAAGCCAACGCAACTTATTCAGTGCTATCTGTTGTTCTAGGGAGCTAGCATGATTATCACCACCTAGTACTCGCCTGCGCACATCATCGTTGCGGACACGCTGGTGCCATCCGACTCGAGCAATGCTTCGCAGATAACGATGATCAAAGACTTGAAGGCGCCTTAGATCTTCAGACCGAAGGGGCCAAGTCTCACTCTCATTGAGCACACTGCCCCTCACTGTGGCCTTGTATACACGGCCTTTCAGACGCAGGGAAACTGCCTTCTGTCGCCAAAGATGCCCCAGGTTCAAGAAGCTAGCTCTGCTTTTGCAGTGCGTGAGCTGACGTCAGTTTCTATGCGCCCATAATTGCTGACGCAGCTGCCAAGATAAGTGAAATGATCAACCACCTCGAATTCCTCGTTTCGCAAGCGTCAAGGGGTCATCAAGTGGCTGGTGGTACTGCAGCAACACTTTGCACTTCGAAGGTGCGAAGTGCATACCAAATAATAATGGGCCCGCTCTGGAGAGGCTATTCAGGGTTGATTGTGCTGCCCCAACATCGTCGAAAAGCAAGACGAAATCATCCGCATAATCAAGGTCAACTAATGTTTCATCAATAAGCGCTTCAATGCTTACATGGTGAGATTCCGGAAGGAAACATTCCATGATAGAATCCACGACAAAATTGAACAGAAAGGGGGAAATCGGACAACCCTGACGAATGCCACTTGTGGTCGGAAAGCTATCCGCTAGGGCA